GGTTTGAGGTAAGATTGTAGGAAATGAGTAAGTATGTAAGAGTTAGTTTGGTAAAGACAAAGACTAAAATAATGGAATGAATGAGGACTGCAGAGCGTGTACTGAATGAATGTGGCGGGGCATCGGGGGTACAGTATGATGTCAGGGCATGATGTAGGACATTACTGAGGGGTTTTAATCACAAAACAGGGACAAACTAAAGGGTCCAGTTCAATGTTAGGATTTCAAAATTACATTGGTTAGGAACAAAAACAGACCATCTACCAGGACAACACAACAGTTAGCTGGGAAAACGTTAATTGTCAGCATAGGGGACTATATGTTTATATGTAATATGTTAAAGAGATGGGATGTTAATATTTAGGGATTCAGCTCCTCTAAAATGCAATGTAAAAGGACTAAGCCTAAAGGTGAGTGGAACATCATGAGAATATGGGGACCAGGGAAAATGCATAATTTAAGGGAGTTAGTGGAACTGACTTGTAGCAATAAGCTTCCGATCAGTTAGAAAACGTACCTTCACCAAACTGACAACCAAATTTCAACCAAAACAGAACCAAAGTACCAAAGTGGGCAAGTCACATACCTGGCATTCTGGACAACCATGACCTGACTGAGGGGGTCCAGCATGCATTAAATATAAAGAACAACATACAGAAACAATAGTCAGAGGGAGGATGGGGGCTCAAAGAGAGAGTCTATGGGCTGTGTGTGGGAAGGGGAGATAGGTTTAGTGTGGGATTTATTAAGTGTGTGTTTAGGAGAAGGGCAAGAGCGGGGAACTGTGCTGTGCAGCGGTGGATTGAATTTGTGCTTTAGTGTCTCATGAATAGCATGTATGTGTTCTGAGACGGCTTTCAGGTGATGTTACGCATCCATTGGCAACCGAGGTGGATCTGCTGCTCATGGGTCAGAGTGAACAGCTGATTGGATTTATAAATATTCCCCATCCTTTTGTAAGTAAGCACAAAATATAATCTAATTTTCATTATTTGTTAGCTTGAAAATCATCATTACTTTACAGAGCACCACTGTGTACAGTTGAAAGGGGTATTTGTTTAAAATGTGAAAATCCTAAGGATTAGCGCTCTAATTGTAAGTGTATTACTTTTGCCAAATACGACTATTATTTTCCTCTTTCCTGGTTGCTGTGCATTAAACTATTATTCATAACCACCTGTTTCACTGCAGGAGCTCCATTTGGTTGCCAGGAAATCTGTGATGCAACTGAAAAGCCTCTGTATGGATTGCAGTCAGTGCTCTGATAGCTGTGAGCGTGTCCATGTATATACACATGTAGCATATACACGAGTATTTGCACACATGTGTTTAAGTGTGAATGTTTCCGTAGTCACTCTCAGTAGGGTGGCTGCAGGGCTTGTTTGTGACACCCTCCCAGTTCCTTTAGTGTAACCCTAACCCTATATAGAACCCATAGTGGTGTCTGCACCTGCACATTTCAAACTGAAAGCATGTAAGAGTGGCCTCTGCAAAGCCCACAGCCATATATTATTGTTTTTATCTGAAACGATCCCAGGAAAAAACACTCTCTCGAGGGACCTCATACGGCAGAGAAGGTGGGAGACTCAATTACATTACAGCGCAATCACAGTGAGAAGAGAGCCCTGGACTAAGGAGGGAGTGTGGATCGTATTGCAAGTAAATATGAGAGCTATTGATTTTGACTGCACTCACACCTACAGTAGAACACCCATCAACAGGGGCAACATCAACACAAGAACACTAGCAACTTCATATCATTTACATAATGTTTGTGTCATTCAGCAGCGATAAGGGCCTGATGAGTCCCCTAACAAGGAGTTCATATCACATAAAGCCACTGGAACTATATAAAATATAACCTGATGGACCTGATGTGCAGTGTATAGGTGCTATGGAATTGATACCAAAGAAAGGCCATGTGCTGCACATTGAAAGATGTAATGGTAAGCCAAAATCAATTGTACATCGATTTTAAAATGAATGGAAATTAGGTTTGAGCTTAACAAAGTGACTGCCTTTGTAGCCTGGGAATATCTAAGCAGGTTTATCACTCAAATTCCTTCTCCAAAAGTGGCTGAAAAAGACAGAAAACTATGAAAACAGTCACATCTTACACACTTCTATCTCTCCTAAATCAACAAATTTTGTACGGCTACAACATTTTCTCATTTTGTATTCTGTTCTGAATTACTGATGGTGTGTTTGGAGGTTTTACACCCTTGACTCACCCTCTCCCTGGTAGGAGATACACTTTAACAAATGGGTCAGAATAGCCATTGTTGTCCCGCGGGACAAGGTTTCTGGCCTGCAGGACGTGAACGATCAAGTTGCCAAGCTGCTTGTCGTAGTGGATTTGAAGCTGCAAAAAGAAGCACGTTGAATTACAATGGATTCCAATGCATTTGGAGGGAGAAACAGTGTAAGTAAACTATTATTTCAACAGACCTGTATCTCTCCAGAGATGAGGTGGGACTGGGTCTTCGTTCCCTCTGCAGTCTGTAAGAGATAAGGCAACATGTTTAGATACTGCTGGCAAAAATCTGTAGGTGGATACTGTGTGTTTACTGGTGGGTGTTCATACTGTACAGTATGTACTGTACTGCGCTGTGCTTTATACAGTGCTTGAGGCTAAACTTCGTGTTAAACTCTCAAAATGTATCCATCTGTGCATCTGTTTTAATATTCATTTTCGATAAGTTACAAGTGGTGAATTCTTACATTTTTATTCCTTACCAGCATCACAATTCTTTGCTAAATGTTAGATTTATAATAAAGGAAAAGCTGCCAAATGTGGTAGGTTTTATATGTTCCAAACTATATATAGATATCAATAAATGATTTTTAAGATCATGTCTTCCTAAGCTCCCTGTGAAGTTGGTAACAATGTTGTACGTTAACGGAACAAAAACAGAAGAAGTGCAGATACATGAAAAACCTGAAAGCAATTTGTTCAGTTCAATGTAGGGATCAGTTTCACAATGATACTGTACTTGACCAACACTATCCATTCTTTAAAAATGATGAGCTAAATCATTTTTTGAGCTGAACATGGAAAACCCTCTGGACTTGCCTTGCTGCTGTGGCGTTTCTTGCTGACGGATGGTGACCCTGGCTGACCAGGGCTGGAGGTCGCTGAGGTGGTGGTGGGCAGGCCGGAGGAAGAGGTGGAGGTGGGAGCCTGTTGCTGGGACACCTTTTGCAGCTCAGCCGCCAGTTGCTTGGGGTCAACACCTGGAGACCTGGGAGGTCTGTCACCTGGTTGGGTCACACCAGACACACAATAGCGTCATTATGCAAAGGCACCCACATAAACCCATGCATGCAGACAAAGACATGAACACATACAAAGTATTTGATTGTCCACAAAGACAGTATGTGAAGCTGGGACAGTCCAAGGCTTTCAACCATTAACCCCCTGGTGACCAGTCTGGTTCTTTAACTTCTATGTTTCAATCCATTAAAGGATTAAAGAGGAAGAGAGCAACAGAAGAAGTTGGATATCAAGGATTTACATTGTGGTAGCTCTTCTGAGAAAAATGTAATGTTCCCAGTGTAGTGCAGATAGAAATAGGAAATAGGCCACAAGTACTGCATGGCTGAACTTGAGAAAAGAAAGAATTGCAGATGAAAGCGGTATGAGAAGAATTGAAAAACTGCAAGAGACAAAAGTTAATTTGGATCTACTGAGAAGGCAAGGGCGGTGGTGGAGAAAAATTGAGAAGCAGCAGTTGCAATTCTCTTGCTCACCTTTGCTGTGCTCCTGGAAATCCAGGTGGTCAGACCCATCAGACTCAGCCAGCATGTTGAGATCACTGAAAGACAGAAAAATAATGTGTCATACAATTCAAAGAAACATTTGAGAGATAATTAGAGTGTAAAGAAGGCATGTGAAAAATAGAAAGCAGACAGCGACAAAGGTTATACTCACAGTCTGACACACACTTCTGCCTCATTACACGGCTGTCCGACGAGCCCCTGTACCTCTTCATAGGTTTTCCCCGTCAGAAGAACACCATTCCACTCCAGGACTTGCATTCCTATACACAGTAACGAATTTGCACACAGCCACAAACAAGAAAACAATCAAAAATACAGTAAATCATATTTTCATCCATATTTTCCAGTATACAGCACAAACATTTCACCTCAAACCACAACAAAATCAAAGCCTTGAAGTGAGTTGAGATCAATTCATTTTAAAACTAAATTGACCTGAATGAGGAGCCAGTTCGGGGTCTAACATCCATACTTTGATTACATTCACAGTGAGGAATCGTTTGAGAGAAAACAAGCTTTGATTCTTCTAGTGAAACGACATGTGCATCAGACTGCAAGCCAAAACTGGAGCGATAAATGCTGGTGACAGCCCAAACAGCAGCTGTGTGACAAAGCTGCTTGTACAGCACTCAGGCACAGAACTGGGTTAAAATGAACATGAAAATGGCCTCATATTGTTTCAGTTATAATACTATAATTTTCAGCACAGCACTTCAAACATTATGGCCTGGAAAGAATAGAAATTCCAATCTACTATAAGTGTCTCACAGAAAGAACCGACCATATATTTATATTTAATGCAGGAGTGAAAGCTTATAAGGATCCACACAGCACAGCAAACCCACTGCATCCATCAAAACACACCCTGCACACTGGCAGGACTTACACCGTCTGAAACAGCTCATCAGGAGGGTCTTCTGTTTGCGACGATACTCTCGAGCTGCATGTGTGAGTGACAGGGAAGCTTCTGTAGTTTCACCTCGGTATAATTCATCAAATTGTTCACACTCTATGACTTGTGTGTGTGCTGCAGTTTGCAAAGGAACTTGAATTTCAGTGATCAGACCAACAAACATGTATTCGTACACACACTCTGTCCCTCTGTGACACTAAGCCTCTACGCCTGTTGAATCTGACAACATTTCCCCATATTCGCACCACGGAGGGTGAGACGGCGTGTTCCCACTGGCAGAAGTACTTTGCAGCCATTCTGCTCAGTGTTGATGACAGGGTTATGGGTGTTATCATGGTTGAGTTGTCCTCGTGGCTAACAACACCGCAGATGCATTCTGACTCTTGGACTGAAGCAATCATCAACAGCTTCAGCCTATACCATAGACCTCTTTCAGTACAAAGGCTTAATGCATGAGACAAGTATAGAAAGGGCTGCACAACGATGGCTGAGACAGGGTACGGTTACAGTAATGGGTAGCAAAGGGTATAGCGAAAATAAGAGCAGAGATACAGATAAAACTCGACTGATCCCAATGTTTCCTTGCGGTATGAGTTTCTTGAGAGGAAGCATTTGACATAAACAGTTTGGTACAATAAAATACTACAAGTATGTAAAAGTTATGCTAATGAAAAAGTCTAAGATCTATTAAGTCATCTGCTCCTGTACTTTTCCAAGCATTAAAATCATGATTAAGGCCAGAGAAACCTTCAATTAAGGATCTTGTTTAATGCATGTAACATGCCGTTGTGATTATGCAGAAGATGGTGCTTGGTACTGATTTGTTTGAAGTTTTACCTGAAGTGACTAATCCTCATAAAGTGATAGAAAGCTGATTTCTCTTGTACATTTTAAAATATTTGTTTTGTATTTTTCTCAGACACACTAGCAGTGTGGCTCTAGGGATGGTAATGCTGAACAGGTGCAGATTGCTGTGAAATTTGCTACAGATATTCAAAGTCCCTACAGAACAAATTCTATTGACTTGGTGATCCTCAGTTAATCGTCCATCATCAGGTCAACATTCCGATTTGCCCAATAAACCTGCAAAATCAATGACAATCCCGTCAGCCTCAGCTGTACTTATTGTGTTTAGCGCTGATTAGCATTAACCAAGATGGTGAACATTACACCTGCTAAACGTCTTCATGTTAGTATTGTCAATGTGAGCGTTTTGGCATGCTGATGTTAGCATTTAGCTCAAAGCACAGCTGTGCCTTATTAGTGCCTCACAGAGTTGCAGACTCCTAGTTTTGTTTTTACATGATCTACAATTATAGTTCCCCTGCTTCGCAATAAAATGTGTATTTTTTGTGTTATCAAGTTACATTTCGGATTTCTAACTCCCACTGTGCTGTAAAAAAAAATCTGTAAGCCATATGAAGTGCCAGTTTTTCCATTATTGTTCCCAAATGTATTTGTTTTATTTGTATTTTTTCATTAAGAGCTTTTACCAGATCCCTCTTAGAATGTCCTCATAAAGAAGCAGAAAAAAACACAGAAGAAACAGCAATATACAAAAATGGATTAAAAAAAGGAAATGGAAGGAGACACAAACAAGAACAGAAAGTATGAAAAGAATTGCCCACGCTCAAACACACATCCACAGAGCACAGACAGATGGATAGCACATTACACAGGTCCAAACTGGATTTCTCTCTCCCTATCTCACCATTCATAGATCACCAGTGTGGCAGCTTCAAAAAGGCTCAAGCCACAGCTTTAGCAATTGACCAACACCCTTAATGTGGATCACCACAGAGATTAAAGGGGGCTATGTGTAGACAGATGGACTTGACAGATGGAATTATTTAACAGGTATTATAAAATAAGCACAAAAAATGCAGTTTGACAGTGAATAAAAAAGTATTGTAATTGTGTAATATGTATGTATCATCTAAATCTATAGTGCAGCATTTTTCTTCTTTCTTTTTTTACCAAAAACACAATGTCTACTTTATAAACTCTCCACCCCACTAGCAGGTTATATTCTCATTTTTATGAAATGATTAGAAATAGTACGGTAACCCCCTTGACCCCTTGTAAAACCCAAGTGTGATTTTTTTAAAACTTCTGTTTTTGTAGAAACAAATGCCAATCGGTGAGCTTTAGAGGTGCAGGCATATCTTATTACTTTATTATTGTTACCTTTGGACTGAGCCAGGCAAGGTTCCCCTAGTGTACAATCTATCCTGGCAGTACGCAATATTTTGTTTCAGGCAAAGTCTTACCCAACCTACTCTGCCTTTGATTGGCTTACCCTGATCCTTACAATAACCATAACCAATGTCACTCCTCATGCATAAACCTAACCAACCAAACCAATGAAGGCAACAAGTATGGCACCCTGGGAAAAATGAAAATGGCATACCATACAGACTTGAGTGATATCAATTATAATGAAAGCATATTTCCTATAAAACATCAAAATTACATTGTCAAAATATCCTTTGTTATATATTCTCTTTATACCTACAAACAAAGTTAATTGCATAATTTTTCTTTAAACAAAGGGAAGTCTAATTCGGTAAAAGAGCTTACCTTCAAGAACCTTTCCTGTTTGTTCTGCGGCTCCACCAGGTAGGACTTTGGCAACATAGGCTCCAATGTCTCCATTAGAGCCAGGGACCTCTTTCCCTCCGACCACACGGATACCCAGACCATTTCCTGTTTGGGACCAAAAACAAAGACTAATGAGTGTGGCGCAATTAATTAGTCTGTAGTCTCATTGGCACTACTTTTTTTGTAATGTCCACACACACACACACACACACAGACACACAACTACAATAAAAAAGGATAAAGTGTGGACAGTGTACCGCTCTACAAAGTCAAAATGCATACATTTGATGATACAACAGATTTTAAAAATAGTTCAAATGCACATGCAAGATCAAAGAACACAAACCAAAGGCATTTTAAGGTAATATACTGGTTATACGACAGCTATAGGTACAAAGGCATTACAACCTTTCTCAATTTGCTTGCCAGCTTGAAAACCTTAAGCCATTTATCTCATTTCGCTACTTCTGTAGTTGCAGCTCTCTACTTTTATAGAACAGTATAGACAATGGCATACATGCCAATCCACAGGTCACATATAAAAATGGCCGTCACCTAGACAGAACCAGAACTCCCCTCGTTTTACAATATAAAAACAATTTAACATGGTTATGGAAGCAAGAACAAAACGACTGAGGCAAAATGACTCAGTTCAGCACCAGGTCCTCGTAAACAAAATTCTTCCTTTGTGGGCTGTTTGTTAATTGTGTAAGATAATCCTGAGTGTGAGTGATACACCATTTTGAGCATGGCAATGACTGATGAGCGTGGAGAAGAGCCAAATCAAAAAGGAAGCCAGGAAATGAAATGTCTGCCTGCTTTGAGCCTGGAGGAATGGTGTGATGGAACGTAATGGCAGGGGAAGTGACTTGCCAGTTTCTTGAGATCTGGCATGAACATCAAGTAAATAAAATGCATGAAGCATACCAGTGATGCTCTGTAAACCTAATGAGATGTTATGATCCATATTAATATGTACATTTTACTGTCTCTAAAAAATAAATAATAAATAAATAATAATAATAAATAATTTTAAATCTATTTTATAAGCATTCAAATTCAATTGAAGGAAAGCAATGTCTGTGCAGTAAGCAGTGCATATTTGATGCAGTCAGTAAGCACTGGGGTCAATAGTCTAATGCATGCATCACAGTCAATAGCACATTTGCTTGTAATACATGCCTATTTGAATGCATATTATTCTTCCTCTTAGCATGCTTCTGTTGTTATTGAATGAAATGGAGTAAACTGTGGTACTTTACCTGAGACACTGCGGTCTTTGGGATCCCTCTGCAGTTTGACCCTGAGGTGAGGGAAGGGGTAGTACGGGCCTTTTCCCTGTGGCCCATACACAATGGTGAGATGTCATGTATGTACAATGCATGTACAAGGTAAATGGGAAACAATTAAGTATGGATTCTTTGCAACATGGACATATGTGAGGCATTTAAATGCCTTGCGTTATCAAGTGAGATTACATACCACATATAGATATCAAGATGAGTGGGTGCATGCATTTCATTACTGCTTGGACTTGTTATACAGTACATGTGAGAAGTTTACTACAGAGTCTGCATGCACAGTATGTATGTGTTTTTTCTTGTTTCACCTGTCTCTTCTCTTGTCCGTTCTCTGACCGTCCGTCTCTAGGTTTGTCAAACCAGTCTGTCTCTTCTCGTCTAAGGTGGTAGGCTTCAGGGATAAAAACAAGCACTACTTCAGAACCAATCTGAGAACCAGGACTTTTTCATCCTATTATATAGGATGGGTTTCTTCAGTTCATATAAAGGTGACTGCATGCTATTAAACCAAACTCAATTCATGAAAAGTCTATGCCAATTAGTGATTAGGATAAAACAGAGGGAAAGCAAGGGCCAGAAAAAGTGTTAATTATTTCACTTGTATGTGAAAAGGGGAAAGGATGCCAAGCACATTTTTCACAGGTATTACAAAATAAGCACAGAAATTGTAGTTTGAGAGTGAATAAAAACAGTGTTAGTACAAAATGTATAGCATAATCTAAACCTACAGTATGGTAATTTTCTATTAATGTAAATGTTGGGTATGTACATATTTTGCATTATTCACTAACTCTAATGAATAGGAAGTGAATGTCATTCTTCTAAAACATACAGTATAGTATGTAGATCTTATTATATTTTTGCAATCACGGAAATGTATTTATTGAATTGCAAACAAATGTGATATTTATTTGCCATTTTATGAGAATCTTAATCCTCCCCAACATTTCGCTCTCATTCTATGGTGATATGCATTTGAGTTGTGGTGCACGTTCATATGTTAGCTAATGGATGACTAGAGAACTGAACTAATACTCTACCATTGGTTGCATCGTCTCTGTTCAAAGCCATCAGGGAATCGCTTAGGGCTGGAATCAAGGCAAATGGGTTTACATTGCAAAATGATGGGATCCATATGAATTTATTAACAAGTTGTTATTTCTGCATTCAAAAAACTTAGAACTGGGATCTTAAAAGTTTAAAACAGAAAGATAAACAATTGCACCTCTATTAGAATCTGAACTTTCTAACACTGTCACATTTTCAATCCCTTTTCATAAAAACACTATCCTCAGCTTGGACATTGCTGCTTTGATTAAACACTCCATAGAACACATAAATTATTAAAATGGTTTTAGTCGTGACTGACTGACTGAGAAGGCAATATATTGCTTATAAATTTAATTGATGGTTTATGGTTTTACCAAGAAAAACATATCCAAGTTATAAAAGAGGAGATTGCAGTAAACTGATTAATTTTATGTTCTCGCTTAAAAAGTTAATTATCTTTCCTGTTGAAATTAGACACTGTTCAGCACATTTTCCAAAAACTGGGTCCTCTTAGTGACATCAGCTCAGAACAGCTCAAAATGAATGATGCTTTAAGTAATAGAACAGTATAGAGAAACAAAATTGTTAGCATTTACTCAGCAGTTAATCTAAATAATTAGATTGTCAGTAATATTCTTGCATAATGCATTAGTTTTTCATCAGATTTGTTTTATAAATCAAAAATACAGGAAAAAGGGCCCATAATAACAATGTATTCATTTTGATTAAAGTGAGGTAGTAATACTTTTAGGAAATGCCGTATAAAAAATTGTAAAGGAAGCGTAATAGGCATAAATGTATTTCATGCAACATAAAGTCCACGATGTATCACAATACATACAGGCAAGTATTAAAGACAGGACATGCAAGTTAAAGTGTTATATTTATTACACACATTTAAGTGTTGCAACCAAATATCATGCATCTCAAAAAATACAACGAAGGTCCCACTACTTTGACAACAGTATCCTGCTTTAAACTATTTTTTCTAGGAATGTCATAATTTGGAAACCGTTTGATGTCACCTATAGTTTGGTATAATAATATAACCCACAAATATATGTATATACTTAAATATGATCATGAAATACACCAACATTATTAACTACCTAGATTATCAACTCTACAACTATTGTAGAATCCAAAAATATAAACAATGTACTATTGACTATGTTAATACAATATACTGTAATTTTGAGGGGTAACTGCATAAGAACTGGTTCAACTGACAGACTTCTGTCCCAATTATGTACATTTATCAAGTGGGGAGGCACTTTTTTAGTGTATCATTTCTGGGGAAAAAATGTTTCTACATCTGACCTAATTAACGGTTATTCTGCTGTTGTGTCTCATGCCTTGTATCATTAACAAGCAAGATTTGAAAGACTATAAGAGTATAAACAGCTACAAATGACAGCATGCTCTAAATAAAATGTAGACTGCTTAAGTGAGGAATTGCTATTTGAGAAAGGAAACCTCCCACACAATGTAGCTGTAACATAAAGTTGGACTGTTAAGTGTCATGCAGTGAACTAATATGGGAAAATGTTACACAATATCGGGAATGCAGACACAAACACAGTGCATGCATAAAGATACATTGAAGCACACCCTCTAAGTCATTGAGCAAAATGTACAAAGGCATGCATGCACCCCAGATATCAACTGATTGACAAAAAGTACTGACACCAGAAAACAAAAAGAAAATACATTCACCACAGTTAAGGTTAAACATGGAAACATGAAAAACAGACACATGCAGACTTTCAATAAATACATAAACGCTACATATTATACACAATAGTACCAAATGCAAGCAAGACAAACCATAATCAGACACTGTCAAGGATGACACATTAAGTAGTAAAAGAGTGACCATGTAACAAGTCTTTTTTTTACCTTCACTATCTGACATGGTGCCCTGAAGGTCATCCAGCAGCACATAACCCCTACCCCTGGTTGGCTCCTCCCGGATATGTTGCTGCTGCTGGGAGTCCTGCAAGGACAGGCAGGAACCAAACTGGTCCCTTGAATCAGCTGAGATGGGCGGTAAAGGACCCGCTGATGCACGGGCCATGCCCATAGGCTGTCCAACAGGGCTCAATGGACTCTCTTCCTCTGAGTTCTGGGCCACTATGGGTATTCTGCCACGTCCACTTTGCACAATGGGAAGGCTGGTGGGTTTGGTGCGACCAGAGGGGGTTTGATAGCTTGGTGCATCTCCAGATGCTTCACCGTCTCCTTTAAGCCTCAGTGAAGAGCTGGAAGGGTCTCTTTTGATAGACAAGTCCAGGCCATAGCAAGATGTGGGCCTGGATGAGGGTCTTGAGCGACTACCACTAGGATAGGCAGAGTCCAAACCTAAGCTCTGGCCCAAGTTTAGTGACCCAGCCAAGTTGGCACCTAAGGTGGACCCCAGGTATTTTTGCTGCTCTGCAATATTCTTACGAAGGCCGAAGGTAATCTCATCCTGCGAAAGCCGGCTGGATCTTGGGGATGCACTGCTAGACCCAAGATAGCTGGTATAGTCTGTCTCCAAACCTCTGTTGTCTGCAATAGAGGTATACTTGGAGGATATCTTAGGATCTAACAATGGAGCCTTATGTTTTTGGTACAACATGGATGCTGGGAGTTGTTTAGCTGCCTGCTTCTCTAGAGTAAGACGACTGATGCTGTATTTATCTGTCTTCGGATAGTGTCTTTGGGAGTAACTAGAGATGCCAGAGCTTGGGGTATAGTAGTGCTGGGAGAGACCTGTCAGTTGTTCTAAGCTTTCTGTCCCACCCGTACTTCTCCTAAACTCTTGCTTGAGCTGCTGCTTCAAGAGTTTCAGTTCATAGGGTTCCTCCATTGTATCCTCTTCATCAGGTGTCTTTCCAAATGTATGGAGCCTAGAAGTGGAACCCAGATAGTCAGTAGACCCCAGATCTGCAGCACTTCTGCGCAGCAGCTTCTCTGCTTTAGCCAACTCCCTCTCAGCCAGACTATAAGATGAAGACAGACCTGTGGAGCTCTTAGCCAATTCTGCAGCATCTTCCAGCAACATGTAACTCCGAGGTGTATGGTGATCTACATCTGTGTAATAAGGATCAGATACAGCTGACATGGGGCTACGTGCCATACTTCCCACATCCAAGGCTCTGAGGTCAAGGTGGTTGCCATATTTGTCGTACTTGACTCCCAGGTAAGCTGATGATGTAGGATCAGGCTGGCGGCTAATGACTTCATATTTAGTTGCGTCCAGCTCTGACAGGAGAGCTGCTTGTCTGGCAGCTTTTTGCTGCAACAAGAGCATTTGATGGTAACTCTGCTGCTGGGAGCTAGTGAGCGAGGGCACAGAGGAGTAGATAGAATGAGATTGATAGGACTGGGGAGTCTGGTAAAGAGACTGTTGGTATTGGCTTTGAGGGTATTGGTACTGGGAGTATTTTCCATACTCATGCTTGGTTTGAGGTGGGACAAAGTCATCCAATTCTGACTGAGGAGCTGTCCTGGGACGCTCAAGACCATGATCTTCAATCTCCTCATCTTCACCACCTCCACGCCCACCTCTAGTCTCTCGGATGTTACTAACCTCACTGTCTGACATGTAGTCTCTGTCCTCGGCAACACTCTGTAAGTAGGCCCTTTCCCTTTTCTCTCTCTCCTTCAGTAGCACATCTTTTCTACGATTAATTCCCATCTCCAAGTACCTAAGCTTGGCATCAATCTCTTTCTCCTCCTCATCGAGCTCTGCTTGTCTTTTGCGGAGCTTGGAAGACTCACGCTCCACCAGGTCTAGCTCGCGATCAATGTCTTGGAGGATCTTGGCACGTGCCATGTTGGAATTGCGGCACATTCTTCTACGGGCAGAACCAGTGCTATATGCTGTTTGGCCAGTGGTTGTTGACTCATCCTCTGATGGTGGATTGGGGAGAGTCCTCTTCACTTTCTTTTGAGTTCCTGTTGGTGTTCCACCTGAGCCTTTCGCCTGTATGAAAAAGAAACAAAACATTGATTAGGACGGTACAAATTTGAAAGAGTTTTCTTAATCCACAAAAAAATATTCAGCTGGTTATGTAGTCCTCAGAATTTGAAAAATTACTCTCTCTGAACATTATTACTCATTTATTACTTATTGCTTAATTTTGCATGATTTCAATTATGTTGTCAAATAAAAAAATAGGAAAAAGACATCAATTCCTGTCTGTATAGTGTTAATATAAAGTAATGAATATAAATTAGGACATGTACATTGGGGAATTTGAGTGTATCAAAGGTTATTGGAAAACACAGTTTTATTGATGCGTCTCAGTAAGATATGTATTCTTGCCCATAAATGTTACCCGCTGCTATCTAAATTGTACACTCCTAAGTGTAGTTTGAAAAGAGGTAATTTATTCACATTGAGCCTCTATGGATCTCTGACAGCTCAGTATTTTCATGCAAGCTCAGCTTATTTCCCACCCTTTTTATGTATTTATGAGATTCTCAAGAGTGAGATGCCCAGGCAGAAAACTGACTTCCATACCCCATGAGGGCCAGGAGCAACATAGGATGCCTAAGTGGATATGCGTAACCTCTTCAGTTGTTTCTTTTATTTTCCTGTATATATTTTCATATGTCTCTCCACAAACCAAATTTAAATTAGAGCTCTGAATATTACTGTATAGAGTGTACAGGATGGAAACAGCATCTGTACTACAGATGAAATGAAGGCTCAGAAAATAATAATAAGGTCTTGGATTCATCATTCTCTTTAATCAAATTTTTTTCTTTTTTAAATTCTTCTGCATCGCCTATATTAAGCTGAATGTAAATGAATGAAAATATTTTAAACAGACATACTTATTATTTTATATTACTTATATTACATATAACTTATTTCAGTACTTAACTCTCTGACTACTTTAATCACCTTGCTTTTTTCTTCAGTAAGTTACTTTTTTTCTACACAAGCCACGCACACACCTACTCTGGTCTGTGTTTCTCTCACACCAAAAAACACCACTCGGGTTCGGGACTTTTTTCATCCGTGATTCCGTTTTAATAACAGTAGCGACGTGTGGGAAATGGCTCGTTGCAACAGCGCAAAAGACAATGTTAGAGAGAAGTGTAAAAATAGTTTTGGTTCCTTATGAAACACTGGAATAACATGGAGGCAGGGATTTCTATTTCGTATAAGGTGAGTATCTCTTGTTCAATGATGGCACTGGTCAAATTCTGTAGCCACAAGTTTATATGACAAGATGAATAAGAACCATGTAAAACCTAAATGCCCTAATACACCAAAGCTAAGATACATTCATTGGAGCTATTGCCATGGTATTTTATGAAGAAATAGTTCAGGTCAAGTTGGAAATACCTCTCCAGATACATCTAAATTAGTTTTGCACATTATTGATAAAACTAGCAGTTTAAACACAATTCATCATCTTACAGTTAAAATAAACCCTCTCTTGTGTTTTTGTTCGCCTATGTTCTTTCTTATATAAAATGGAAATTAAAGTGATACTTACAGTATAACTATCACCATACTGGGTGCCAGATGTCGCCCTTTCTTCTCCTGTTGGACTCATGGGCTTAGGGTCAGACATGGATCTCTGCATGGCTTTTGGTCCCCTGGGACTTGCTGGGGAGCCTTTTGAAATATCTTCACTTCCTCTTAGCTTTTGTGGGCTTGTATCACCCAGTGATTTCTCATAGGACACAAATTCAAGGGATTTGCTAGGGGATATACAGGGGGAAATGGGGGAATAGAGCACTTTGGGAGATTTAGGAGGGGCTTGAAGTGTAGAAGAATCAACTTTGAGGTTAGGAGACTGGCCTATTTCTAAGGGGGTAGGTCGTTTCTTTGGTGAGGTCCTTTCAGAGTCAGACAGCTCCATCCTGGTGTCCATTCTTATGTTCCCCTCTGTATCGGTTTGTATAGAAATCTCAGTGTGGGCTTGAAGAGACATCTCTGACTGCCCACCCCTATCACCCCTGGCAGTGCGTGGCCTGCTTTGACGGCTTCTGGTCTGAGCCTCCCATTCCTCTTGATCCTCATCATCAGTCTGCACACAACTGTCAACACTCTTTTTAGCACTTCGCTTTTTTCTCCCTGCTGTGTAAGCTTTGCTGACTGCCTCATCCTCTTCATCTGTCTGACACCCACTATCAGTGATCTTTCGGGCCAGCACTGTGCCATCGGGTCCTAAGACAATTGCTTCCTGCAAGCCATGTCCTGGTATGTCCCCACCTGGGTACATCTGACGAAGCTTTTGCTCTTCCAGCTGAAGGCGCAGTTGTTCTTGGAGTCTCTGAATTTGCTCAAGCTGCTGCTGTTGTTGGGCATAGGTTTCTTTCTGCATCATAAGGTGAGCCTGTCTTTCCTCTTCTTGTTGGGTCAGGATGTGCTGCTTCATGGCCTGGAGCTCTTCCAGTTCCTTTTGTACCAGGAACTGTTCTTGCTCACGGAACCGCTGAATCTCCTGGCGCTCCCACTCTAATTCCTCAGCCAGGCGCTGTTGCTTGAGTTTCTCCATCTCTAGTCTCTCACGCTCTGCCTGATACTGGCCATCCCCAGGAACCATGGGTGAAGACAGAGCCTCAAGAGAAGCAGCTATGGCCTCCAGGGATGCATCAGTGTAGGTGTCAAGGGATAAAGAGGTTGTTGCCGTAGTGACAGAATGGGCAGCAGTAGTACCCCCTCTAGAGATCTCCAGATTGAGTGGGGCATCACCTTGGTCTTCTGTTGCAGCAGTAGAGATGGTGGACAGGAAACTGTGGGATCGTGTAAGAGGCAAGTTCTGGAGGTTAGAGAGGGAAGGCATGGTGTCGCTGGTATGCATACCTGACAGGGTGTTGTATGTTGTACTAAAGATGGACCCAGGTTGGGTGGTAATGGCATATGTAGACGGTATTGGTGCTGCAACAGAGGAATAGACCACCCCATTTGATGACCTCAAGACACTGCTTGTACCAAAGAGTGTACCAACAGCACTTGTGACTCTGGCTTGGGAATAGGGTGGAATTGTCATTCCTGCGTAAGTCCCTTTCTTGGAGTAGTCAACAGCTTCACCTGTCAAAAGTCAAAAATATCAGTTGAGTCCAAATAATGCAGAATTATTCAATATCGAAGCAAGCCATGCCTTATCCAAATTATGAAAAAAGGTGGAAAAGGGGAAAAAAAAAACTCCAATGTCGAGAAGTTCCATAAGCATAAACAAGATGTACAGTTACAGCATGCAAGTACATGCAAAAATATTATGAAAGAACAAAACAAAAAAAAAACAAACAAAAAAATGAATTGTCCATGCAAAACAAAAAGAAAAGCAAAAACAATAAAAAAATGCCACATTAGCCATGAATGAGTGGAGGCAGTTCAAAGTGACATTTAAGTGACAGGTCTGCAATGTCACTGCACTGACCTGCATCAGAAATCTTTGCAGAGGTAAGATCTACTGCACCCTCTGTGGTGCCACTGAAATTATAGCTGTTCTTACTCTTGTAAAAGAACAGGCCAGCTTCTGCTAGGTTAGTGTCTGACATCGATGGTTTAATTCCACCAAACCCTCTCATGCCATAAGGTGATCGGTCATACTGGTAATGGTCATCACGATATCCAAAACGGTCTTCAGGCAGGGGTGTGGTAGGTTGCTGAGTAGTGCAGCTTCCTGCAAATGGGAGCTTGTACACAACATCACAGCATACGGCTCTTTTTCCTGCAGTCAGATCCACTGGTTTGCCATCATCATCTGTGATTACAGCCGTTGCCACTTCTGAAGAAGCACAATCAACTGACACAACAGTGTTGAATGGTTTCGTTGTGCTAAGGTCAACAGCTCCTGCCACTGTGGCTGTACCTGTATTCAATCCATTGGCAACACAACTTGCAATAGAAGTGGGTGCAATAGTGACAGGGGTGGTCTGATAAGTCCCTCCACCTGTGCTTCCAACTGAGAGGTTAATAGGGATCTCTGTACCAGCATGAGTGGAGGGCTGAGAATCAATTGGCCTATATACAATTTGAGACACAGGCTCAAACACTTTGTTTTTTGTTAGCTGAAGGGGCACTGAAGATGCTTGAGAGGTGTCTACATTGTCACATTGCTGGATTGTGGCAGCACAGGTCACAATGGTGATGCTATCAGTCACTATAGATACAGTGGATGATTCAGCACTAAGGTTTACTACAGGTGACTGCACTGCACTGTTCTGACGACTGACATCAGCTGCAAAAGACTGACGCCTTGAATCTTGGCCAGCAGACAGATCCACACCATTCATGTCTGACTCTGGGTCCACCTTCATAGTCCTAAGATCTACCACCTCAGAAAGTTGGAGGGCCTGTCCATTCTGTGCTGGCAATTGAGGCTTAGGTTTCTCCATCGAGATTGGGACACCATTTGCCCTTGGAGCTGGCACTGGTGGTGGTGTCCTTTCATGAACAACGGAGACTGTGGTCCTTTGGACTTCTGTAGTGACCACTTGAGAGATGAGATTAGGCAAAACCACGGGTGGCTGTGCTGAGGCAGATATAGCCTCAATTATGTGACAAGAACTAGATACATGTTTTTCAGGGCCACAAATCTCTTGACTTTCAATGGATTCTGTGACACGAGTGTATGCCAGAGGCACCCTGGTTGTTTGAGGAAGGGTTGGTTGTGGATGCTGCTGTGGATATGATTGAGGTTGAGGCTGTGGTTGGTAATAACTTTGGGGCTGAGCTTGTCGTGAAGGAGATGCTGGGCCAGGGCTAGAGGGAGCTTGAGTTGAGACACTGTCTACCGGAGAGCTTGGCTGAGATGGCAGTGTAATGACCACATATGTGTCACGAAGATTGTTGGCATATCTTGGAGAAGAAGGAGACTTTGGTGAAGGTTGAAACGACTTGCTCTCAGAAGAAGGGCTCAGATTCAAGGCTATGTCAGTAGGACCTGTGGGAAGTACAGTAGGTCTTGATGGATGTGGGGCATGGGCAGGTGAAGAAGGCTGTGAGCCAGGCTTTGGTGCAATTGGTGGTTTGACACCATGTCCTGGTCTGCTATCCCCAATCCCAGCAGGAATAGATGGCTTTGGAGGAACAGGAGGGGGAACATGAGGTTTGTACACTGGTGTGACTATTTGTCTTGTAGATGGTCCTTGGGCTGCGGTCATAGCCACTGTCTCTGGTCTAACTGGAGTTGCTGATGCCTGAGGTGGAAGTGGAACGGGAGGTTTCCTGGGAAAAACAGTAGGTTTAGGTGGGGTGGGAGGAGGCAGTGGGGGTGCAACAGGTACTTCTGCTTTTTCCTGAGAATTAGCCCTACGCGGGACGCTTGGCTTGGGGGGCACTGGTGGGGCAGTTGACACTATGCTGGAAATACTGTGTGTGTACTGTGGTACTGTGGGCAAGGGTGATACACTGGTTATCGTATGGGCTGATGTTCTTGGGAGTGCATTTGATAAGTCCACAACATCATCCTGGGATGCTGCGATTGTGGTGTGAGGTTGATGATCTGATGTGGATGATTGAGGAGACTCAGAAAACACTGTCACAGGTTCAGTTTCCATAGCTGATGTCTTGTCTGATGCTGCAGTTTTCTCCTCTTCCTTTTTGCTTATACTCTCTTCATCAGAAGACAACTCTCCTGAAGAGCACTGTGTCACCTTTAAGTCTGGGATGGGGTGGAGTGCCCTTCTAGATGGAGAGGCTTCCACTTCTGGCTCCTGCTGTGTTGGACTTGTTCCAGGAGTCAGCACTCTTTTCATTAGCTCTTCATAGGCAGTTTCAGCATCCAGCAATGGCTTCCCATCTTTGCCTAATGTTACTGTACTGCTTTTGGAGAACGTATTCTCAGCCGGTTGCAACACAATTTTGGGGGTTTTTGGATGCATGTTTTGATATTCCTGCTCTAGCTTCATGAATTCTTTCCTCTTCTTTATCATGTCTTCATAAACTTCATCTGGTGATCTCAGCTTTTTGGGCTGAGCAGGAACAACAATCTTCTCTGGATCCCCCAGATCAACCGTTGAATTGTCAATAAGAGATGCATAGGCATAGTCTTCAATGAGCATGCCTCCATAAAGGGACTCTTTTCCCGGTTGAATTTCACCTTTGTCAATTGTTGGAGAAGTAGCCCTCAGCATTATTTCCTCATAAGTCTCATCAGCAGTTTTTAGAGTTTTTTTCGGTTGATTATCAGTATTTTGATCATCTGTTGGTGAGTGAAGAGATACTGATGTAGGCAGTTGATACGTTTTCTGAACTGCTGCTATCTTTGCGGCATGGATTTCAAACCCTTCAGGGTCAGATTCAATACTGGGAGAGAAATCAGAGCAGGATGATCGTCGAATCTCCTCCATTTCAGCTTCTTGCCTCAGCTCCTCAGTTGGTGAGGCATCTTCAATGGGGGACAGGTTGCTTGGTGGTGTCTTTGGACGCTCTCGCCTCCTCTGGGCTCGAATCTCTTCTTTGTCTTTCTTGGATTTTTTCCCTGAGCCCTTCTGTTTTTCTTGCTCCCTAAGGAGCTCCTCTTCTTCCCGTAATTCTTCTTCTTCAGAAGAGTCTTCAATAGTTGGCAGCATTTGACCAGGTTGTCTGTGTTTGGCTTTCCTATGTTGTTTACCCTCACCAGAACGGATATTGCTGGGACTACTACTGTCACTGTCTTCATCCAGCGATGAGAGGGATGTTGGGGATGTCCCAGGAGTAAAGCTAGATGCATGTAGACTGGATGACCCTTCACCTCTAGACCGATCATCTGGAGAATCTGTAAGGCTTTCCATTTCAGGCTCTAAATCATCATTAGGTATACGAATAGGGCTGCTGGTCGAATTCAGCTCCATAGTTTGAAATTTGCGAACTGCAGTACCACTCTGACACTCTTCTTTTAGTTCTGGTCGCTCTTTGTCTATATCAGGTTTATCCAATGAGCCCTGGAGTTGCTTGTCGTCTTCGTCGTCTGGACTTATAGTGCTTTTCTTGGTAAGTCGCCTGGTTTTTCCTGATGTGCTCCTCTCTACATTCTCTGTTTTCACCTGTTCCATTTGCTTCTTTTCATCCTCTCTGATCTTTCGCCGGATTAGATTTTCTTCATCAGATGGGGAAGCATCCTCATTCTCACTCATTTCCATTATCTGTTTTCGGATAAATTCCTCATCATCCCCAGACATTGGGCTTTCTTTTCCAAAACTTTCACTACTATCATCCAGGGAATCTGCTCTGACATCCATGGGCACAAGGAGCTTTTTCTTGGTGGTGACTTTGGTATTCTTCTCAGAAAGATCTCTGTCATCTTCTGAGCTAGGTGATTCAGGTGAGAGCGCAAGCACCTCTAATTTACGTCTGGTCTTTAGAGTGTCTGTTAGTTTCTCCTCATCCTTTGATTGCGTGTTGGCCTGGGCCTCGAGAATGGGAAGAACTGTGCTTTCCAGCTTTGCTAGGTCTGATGGGCTTGTGGGGCTGCTTATATCTTTCTCCCCAGGCTCTTTCAAGGTCTCCACTGTTTTCAACTGTTGGATTAAAATAAGACACAATTACACAAATTATGTTTTTTTCCTCCGATATTGCAATAAATTATTATTTTTTAGCTTGTTACATATACATTCTTGAGGAAGGACAAATGTAGATGAAAATATGCTCTCTGAAATGCCATCAATTAGTAATTAGTTATGACAATGACAGCAAAACCTGGCCAGTTTGGTTGAGAAATTGTACGGAATTACAATTAGATTTGCCACTCCTCAGGAATGTGATACAAACAGTCTGCAATAAAACAGAGTTTAGATATTTATTTTCAATATGGTACAATATTTAGTTTAGCTATTTTCATTATTCACAACTGATCTCCATATACGTAAATACACTTTTAAATATATTGGAAATAAAAGTACAAACATAATCATATAATCTACCACCACTTGTGCTAAATACTATGGTCACCTCAGTGATTGAATCGTCATCACTGGGCTTTCCCAGAGGTTGAGCTTTTGCCTCCTTTGTCTCCTCCATGTTAGTGTTCTCCTTTGGGCCTTTGTCCTGCTCACTATCTACAGAGACTGGGATTTCAGGTTCTGCTACAAGGACGGAAACTACTGATACAGACACACCTCCATTTTCAAAAGCTGTTTCTGATACTTCATCCTTCTTTAATATTGTGTTCTTTCCTACATCAAACTGTGCACTGCCATCTTTTTCACAGACTGTGCTCGTCTCTGACACTGAAATAGGTTCCTGGATTTTACCAGCAGCAGGTTGTAACTCAGCCTCTTTTTTGTCAAGTTTTTCTACCTCCTCTTTGAACACTTTGAGCTCTGCGACTTTTTCAAGCTGTTTCTCATCACTGCCTGTTAGAGCTAACGTCTCTATCTCTATTTCATGTTGATTTCCGTCAATACTGTTTGTCTTTTGTGAACCAGACTTTGTCTCATCCTGAATAAGTTTCTCCTCACAGGCTTTATCACTGACTTGTGTCTCACTAATGACACCTGAAGATAACACCATGTCTACATTTTGCACTGACTCTGTGACACTGACCTTTTCTTCAGATGTAACCACTGCTTTCTCAGATTTATCATCTGCTTTTAGCATTGTATCTAAAGGTGCCTGCTTTTCCTCTTTCTGGGCTGCACTCTCTGCTTCGACATTAGGCTTGTCTTTCTCCCCCAACTTCTCTGGCAATGATTCTGTCTCACCAAGGCTTTCCTCAGTGGGTGATGGCTCATACTTTGTTCCTGGTTCTATTTCTTTATGTATCTGTATCTTGTCTTTTGAGATTTCTTCAGTGACAGTCTGAGCCCTTGCTGTTTCTGATTCTTTCTTCTCTATTACAGGACACATATTTGTTATTTCAGTAGAGAATGATGGTGGACTTGAGTCTGTTTTATTAACCTTCTCTTCCAGAGGTTTCTGTTCAGTTGCCTCTTCTTGAAAAGTTTTTGCTTCGTCAGCTTTTACCTCAATAGCCCTCTCTGCAGCTGCATTATTCTGAACTCCCTCCTCTTCTTCAAATGCTTTGCCATTCAATGATTTATTCTCAGTTCCTGCTTTCTCAATAGCCCTCTCCTTAACGGCCTCTTCTTCAACCGCTTTCTCCTCAGCATTTTTTTCTTCAATGGGTTCCTTTGCTGTTTTTATCTCAACTGATGTTTCCACATCAGCTGTCTCAGGTATTTTCTGCTTTGCAATAATATATTTTTCAAAAACTTTATTTTGATCATTGTTCTCACATTTTGCTTTCTCCAGAGCTTTGGTTTCTCCTTCAACTGGAGCAACAGGAGGTGACTTATCTGCTGGGTCAAGCGGAGTAGGGTGCTCCTCTTTTTCTATGGGTTTGTTTTCCTCTTTATTAGCTTGACTATCCTCCTCTGAAGCTGAGACAGCATGATTGTTTTCTGACACTACTGGAGAACTTCCAGATTCTACACATTTTGCTTGCTCTGGTTTTAATTCCTGCTGGGTCTCGTCAAGTTTAGGGACCTCATTGTTTTCAACAGGGGCTATAGGAGCCACACTATTTACAACCTCAACTGGAGGAGGAGCACCTTCCCCAAATACTGGCTTCTCTATTACTGCTTCTGGTTCTACATTTATTTCTGCAGTAATTTCATTCTTGACCTCAGGTGCTACACTGTCTGCCTTAAGTTTTGTAGTGATGTCTGTTTGCTCCACATTAAAAGATGTGTCTACTGTATCTGATGGGGTTTGACCTGCTGTATTAGTTTGGGTTTCATCTATCTGGAGTTTCTCACTTGCCTTAAGTTCTACCTCTGTTATTTTCACCTCTTTTACTTTTGTAGGTGTGAAATCTGGCTTTGGATCTAGCGGAAGAGGAACTTCCTGGGACACTGCTTTTGTGATCAAGGCTGGCTTTGACTCATCTGAATTTGTTGTCACTTCTGGAAGCTTTTCTGGTGTGGGCTCCACTTTCTCATTATCTGTCGAGGGAGCTGCAGCCTCACCCTGAGTAATCTTGGGATTTGGCTCTGTTTCTATCTCAACAGGGACTGTGGTCTTGTCTAAACCTGTATTAGTCAATAGATTTTGTGTCTCACTTTCCACAGGGAGAGGAAGGTCCTCTGCCGCATTCTCAGAGCTACTCTGTTGTTGTTGAACTGCTAAGATTTCACTGACAGGTGAACTCTGTGCTTGTTGCTCAGCATAAGATGGCTCTCTCTCAAAGTGGGGATGGTCCTCTGCTACTGTCTCAGAGCTACTCTGTTGTTCCTCAACTGCTGGAATTTCACTGACAGTTGCACTTTGTGTTTGTTGATCAGCATCCGATGGCTCTGTCTCAGGATGAGGATGGTCCTCTACTATTTTCTCAGAGCTGTTTTGCTGTTGCTCAACTGCTGGGATTGCAGGTATACTCTCAGCTAAACTCTCTGAAATTGGAGCTTTCTGCTCAGGATGAATTACAGGCTCAGATACTGGTTCAGTTGCTAATGGTTGTTCTTGTTCTTTTGACTGTGATGTTTCCTGAGGGGTGCAATCAGGAGGAGGGGCACTAGCAGAAAGAGTGGCATCATGATCAAGTGAAATGAATGCAGGTGTGGGAATGGTTGGGGGCACTACCTTGGTCTCAGAAGCTGGTGGGGTTGGATCTGCTGCTTCTACTACAGGTTTGCTATCTACAGCAGCAGGGGTAGGGGTGGAGGAGGGAGCGGGAGTAGGTGGTTGCTTCTTTGGGGAAGCCATAGCTGAAGGGGGTGTGTCTCCCAGCTGGCCTGACATGGCTCTTTGGGTCTGACAGTTGAGGCAAAGCCATTCTTTCTGTAAGACAAAGATAAGAACAAATTGTTAGTATTTAATATGAATTAAACCTAACTTAAAACTTAAAAAAACAAACAACTGTAAACAGTTTGCTGCAATATGATTTTGACCACTAAATTTGAAAATAAGTAACTACCATAGATCAGTTATACAGTTATATTGTTAGTTATTGGTTTCAGTTGCATGAAATGACTTGACAACACTGCTGGAAAATCCCCACAAATAATTATAAGGGGAAATGTATTTGCTTAACTTTGACACAGTGTTGTCAAATGTTTCTACGTAGTTAAAATGTCATTGTGACAAGGCACCAGTGTGACTTCTTCTATTTCAAGGAAAGCTTTTACATTTATGGGAGAGATAGGGCCATGTATAATGCATGGTAATGGGACAGGGGTTTACCAAGGCATGTCAGAAAGGGTTGGGAGGCCTGTCCAGACATTTCATGTAGCAGACTCAACAGAAAGACTGTTTGAATGTGCATATGTGCTTTTATGACTGTACTTGGTGTACATATGTGTATGCAAGCTTTAAACACAGTAGGATTTGCACATTTCCTAAACCTAAACCGATTCATTCAAGACAGAAAAAAGGAAAACTTTCTGCATGTCTCTTAATCGAATCACTTACCCAGAACTGTTTTGTTTTTTTTTAAACTCCCAAAACATCATAGTTCCAATTACACCTTTATTTAAACACACAGATTTTAACAGTGTTGCCACTTGAAGTGGAACAAGAAACATTGCTGGCACAGCTGTTGTAATCTGTCATGTCAGAGATCTGCTAAATCTGTCCTGTCATGGCTATTTTATTATTGTTGTATATTTCCAGGTACTCACTTAAACACAGGGCTCTAGAGGAACACTCTTAAGTTGAAGGCCCTGCTGGGGGCTATGATTCAAGTGCTACAGCTATTATTGGAGTTTAGTATCCAGTACAGCTTTGCTTTAAGTGGAAATTAAAGTGATGATAAACAATCCACATGTTGGGATTAAAAAAATACATTAGCTATAAACAATGCAAACACATACACCCACCTATCTAATGTGGGGACACCAGACTAGAACATCTATTATGGGTACCACACACACACACACACACACAAACACTCATCTACCTCACACACCACTTGTGCACACACAAACACTGTGACTCTCAGAGGAGGTAATAGTCAGCATGTTTTCAACCATCCTCCACTCTGACGTAAACACCTTATTCACATTGCACCAAGTGCTCTAACACTCCTCTGTGACACCCCTCTTGTGAATGCCTTCGCCTGGCTTAACAGGAGGGTTTATGCTAAATTCGGGCTTCAGAGAAGATCGCAGCCTGCATATTAAGCCATGCAGCAGACAAGCCACCTCTCTCCAAGCACAGAGAGACAGAAAGAAAGAGGGACACAGGAGCAGGATGGAAGAAGAAGACAGGGAATGTCACAGCATCAGACTCAGGGTAAATAAGGCATGAGCCACTATGTTTCACTCCATACCTAAACAGTAGGAGGCTTACGACACATCTGCATATATGTCTCAGTGGCATGTACCCGCTATACAAAGGCAGCAAAAATGATTTGACAGGGGAAATATTTTATTATATTTATTATTAGCGTATGTGAAACTGCAGCTCACAAGATGAAAGTAGTAGCAAAACACTTGAATCGAGGCCAAACGAAAATATATATATATAAAGATGCCAGTGCTGTTTCCATCACTAAGGTTTGCTGACGTTAGTGAGTCACATTCCCAACTCGACAGAAATCAAGTTAATCCTCAGACATGATGATGGACACAGTACAGATGCGGGCGCATTTGTGTGTGTATGTACGTGCGTGAAACAAGCACGCGCTATCAGCATGACCCATCCCATCCGTCCCTGCTGGGAGGACTTGAGACGGCTCCATCAGTTAAACCAGAGAGAGCAGGCACTGAGAGTCGGAGAGATGGCCGCCGATACGAAAGACTGAAAAAACACACAGACGGTCAGTCAGCCTCAGCCACTTCAGAGCCAGTCATCACTGACGTTATCAACACATCACGACAGGCTCACTTGTGCAGAACTATTTTTTTTTTGAGTCATTTGGAATAACCTTCCTGGTAAAGCAGACATGTTAATCTAGCTCACTACATATATCTCGAATATATTTACAGCAATCACCCTGAAAGGCCAAGTTATGAACGGACTTCCTGACTTTATTTTTCTTTAAATTAATTAAAGCAAACTAAAGAAACTTCATCTCTGACTTCAACACTCAGAAAATAATACATTTTAGATGTCGGCACATGGTTACATTGTGTTTACCTTCCCTGGTAGCCTTGGTCACTATATACCCAACATTTACAATGTGAGGATTTACTGCTCTGTGTGTAATATAATTATAAATGTAATATCTATGGAGAAGAGGGTTGAGAGATTCTGAGGGACAAAACAAGACTAGGGTTAGGGTAGCCATGCTACCATGCTAGCTCTGTCAGGCAACACACTGGTTCTTTGAGCTAAATGCTAAAATGTGCATGCTAACATGCTAACAATGACAATGCCAACATCTTAATGTATGGCAGATAATATTTAGAAGGTATACCATTTAAGTTTAGGGTTTTTAGCATGCCAATATTTGCTAATTAGCGCTAAAAACAAAATACAGGTGAGACTGATGGAAGTGTCATTAGTTCTGTAGGTATTTGGTTATAAACAAAAGTATTGGATGCAATGAATTGTTAACTTGATTAGTATTACCACAATTATTATAATTCATCCTCAGTGGACATGAATGTCTGTACCATACATGGCAATCTGTCTAATAGTCATAGAGATATTTTACCTACATTCCACAAAAGTCAGCGTCATGGTGGCACTACAGGAAAAGTCAGTGAATTCATCGTTAGAATTCACCAGTGAATGGGTATCTGTACCAAACTGCATGACAATCCATCAACTGAAATGACAATGAGGAAGTGCTTCTTGGATGTTACAAATGTTGAGAAATTCCCATTTAGACAAAAGGGGTGGATCGACTGACCTACTGATAGACATTGCCATCCATTAAGCCACGCTGCTACCATGACTAAAAGGAATGAACAGATTTCATTAGTTAAAGCCCTACTTCGAATTTTCCTTATAAGCATCATCTTCTTCTTTTGCCATCAGAGAAGATTTCTCAGTACCACCACACCCATCACAAACATTTATAGTGTGAATCCACAGGGACACTCTTCTCTTGCAGACTTGCCTTGTAATTAGTGCTAACAAGACAGGTGTATTTTTATATAAGAATCCTTCCTGCTGCAAGCTTTCAAATGAATGTGATATTCCTGTGTGCACTTCTGTCTGCTGTGATGAGTTCTGGGAACAGCCGCATGGATGATTCATAAAAGCAGCAGAGTCACTCACTCACATCACCGTCTCACAAGGACGTTGTCTAGCATCACATGTGCCTGGATACCAAAAAGTTGACACACACATCCACCCACAAAGATGAGTTTGTGACGGTATTAATGACATACATACATATACTGAGATGAAAGGCATGAAATACCTTGGAAGGAAATGCCAACTTGCTCTCTCTTCCCACATAGCATGTATCACACAAATACAAGCTCAAGCATGAATGAATAAGGACAGCTTGAGTGTGAGTGTTTCCATCCCTCTTTCATCTCCAACTTTCCATCCTCCTCAAACTTCCTCCAAGGACACAACGACTGGCAACAAGACTGACTGAAAACCACAGACGGCAACCAGATATTGAGACAAAACGGGCTGTAGCCATACCCATGTATGGTCATTGTTTCCAACGGTGAGTTGGAGTGTTGTGAAGGTCGGTGCAGCTCTTTGATTAAGACAAGGGATCCTACAAGGATTTTACCCATCTAAATATAGATCGAGCCTGGCACTGAGAGTTGGAGAGCTAGAGGATCTAGAGGAGGATGAGACAGATGGATAAAGACAGATGAGAGGATGGAGATAGAGATGTGAAGAAATGTGAGGACAGAAAAAAGGGTCATAATGCTGTGTGCGAAGCAAGAGCGAAACAAGAGGAGGAACTAAAGAGAAGCAGGGAGAATAAGTAAACAGGATTAAACGAAAGCCAGTAGAAGAGGAGCAGGATGTAGTGAGGAAAAAGGTGAAGCAGTAGAAGTGAAGGAGCTTAATGGTCATTGGAGGTGACTCAACTCCCGCTCCTGCCAACAAGCTTAACATTATCACCCTGTAAATCTGCTAATCAATTGCCGGCAAGTCAGGAAAAGCTGCAGTTCACAATGACAGTCAAGAATGACCTTAAAATGTTACAGTAAAGATTGAGAATTTATTTCATGTCACTTACACATATAGTGGCATATCGTCCTGCTCTGCTTCCAGGTTAACTTCCGTTCGACTAGTTTTTATTGCTCAGTGTTTCAATCAATGTGGGTTTTTTCACATTTGTGCTTTAAAAGCTTTAAAACATTTCAACAATGTCATAAATATGTGTATTTGCTAGCTTGCAGAGAGTTTGCTAGCCTGGCTATGTCAAAAGGTGATAAATTCTGCCCACTAGCATCTGAAGTCTCCGCTGGTTGCCTGGCAACCTTATGGTGAAAAGACTCCAGAAGTTACAATTCCCTGTCAAGAAATATTCTGGTTACCTTCCATAAAATTACAACTTGGTTACTTTAACAATTCCGTTTTTGTACATATTAAAAGGTTTAGTGCGTAAGGATTTAGTGGCATCTAGCAGTGACCTTGCAACCATTTGAATACAGGTCAGCCTTCCAAGCGCGTAGGAGAAACTGCAATGGCCATAACACTTGTGAAAAACATGAAAGGCTCAATCTTGACAAAGTGTTTGGTTTGTCCATTCTGGGCTACTTTGGAAACATTCAACATGGCAGACTCTGTATTAGAGGACCTGTTCCCTCTGTAGATAGTAAGCAGCTCATTTTAAGGTATCTAAAACACAACAATTCTTATTTACAAGTGATTATACACAAATTAAAACGTACCTAAATATTGTATTCAATTTCTGC